ATGTTCATCAATTTTAGTCGGTTGTCCAATTACGAAGCTTACATGGAAATACGACGTGTGCGAGAAGGTAAAGCGTTACTGTAGCTACTCAGCCACATCACAACCCGATCATCACCTACCTAATAAATGATACCCTCATATAACACATTCCCGGTTATATTGTTTCCTTAATCTGAGCATTCGAGCAAAGCGTTTCAAGTTAAGAGATCTCCCGATAGCTTCCTCATCCTCCTCCACCAGTCGAACGTTGAGGCTACGAGCTGCAACCGTCGGCGACGCATACAACCTTCCCGATTATGACTGTGACAAATCCTCATTGCAACAAATTTCATGGCGCATTGTAAATCCCTAGAGGATGTTCTTTAACTATCAAAATAACATGGTGAGCTTCCGATCTGCCCATATTTACTTCTATATTGATAATATTTTACTTAATCTAAGCTTTATTCAAGAATATAGGGTTTTGAAAACCCTAATGTGTCTGACATAAACACGAACCTAGGCATTCTTTGTTTGTTTATTTGATTAACAGATCAAGATTACTTGATTAACAACTATGTTTTGTGCTTGTTTAATTGATTAACTGACCAAGCTTATGAAATGAAACTTCTTTGAGTGGATAGATGATGAGTTGGAAGATGATTACTACAAAACACTGATTTACTCAATGAAGCAAAAGTTTGATAGTAGAGTGGATTGGTCTGAATTGCGTAAGTGCAGGACTTAACTGATAGAGCTGGAGTTTCTCGTATCAAAGGAGAAGGTCGAGGTTGAGAGGCTGCAGAAGCTCTTGGATCAGTCAAACAAGGTAGTTGGTAGGTTGAAGCTTATGATTGTGGTTCTTGTGGTAGTGGTGCTTTTCTTTTGGCTGTTATGGAAGTGAAGTTAGTCAGCCAGGGATGGGGTTTTTTGTATATGTCTTAGGCTTTTGTTGATGATGAAAATTACAACCTACTTTTGGTGGCTTTGGTATATTATTGGTTGATGATAACAATTCCATCCAACTTTTAGGATCATTGTAGTAATGTATTGTTAGACGCTTGTCGCAACGCCTAAACAAATAATAATATAAATAAAAATACTACTCAAGTGCACTAGGGGGTAGTACAAGAAAGCAGGGTCGAATCCACAGGGAAACGTCCTAAAGTCTATGCCTTTATTGCGTAAGGCACACACTAATTTAATAGAAATTAATATGGGAGAACTTTGTTGATTATCAAAACTAAATTGGACAGAAATTTATAAAAGAAAAATGCAACCTAAATACTAGAGTAAAATTCAGAAAATAAAAGCGATTTCAGTTTTGCGGCGACTCTCTTAATCATGCAAATAACCTTCAACACGATAATTGAATTGTGTATTGTTTAAACTGGTACTGAAATTTTTTAATAAGTTCTAACAATTTTCTTTACTAAGATGTTTAACCAAAACAAGCTCTTTGAATTAAACCTTACTTTTTACTGATGTAACACCCGAAAATTCAGGTAATTTTCCTTATTCATTTATTTGTTTATTAAGTTTTTTTGGAAAAGAACCCTCCCCTCGTACGCTGGGCGTACACGCATGTACGCTTAGCGTACGAGGGAGCACATCATCGAGTATCGGAGCCTCATACGCGGGGCGTACGTGGCTTGGATTAGAAACCCTAAATTTGTGGTATTGTTTCCTATTTACACCCTCTTATAACCTTTGGACCTCATTTCTATCAGCCTCCATTTCCTCTCAACGTCCCTAGAAACCCTAATTGCCATTGGAAGTGAGTTTGAGCTTGGAGTGTCAAAAGGAAACCATTTTTGGGTGTGTTTGCAAGGAGAAGAGTTTGTGGTGCAATCCTTGGACGTGGTAAAGCTTCTAGATCCAACATCTTCTTCATCTTAGGAAGCTTCTGGAGGTATAAAGTTCATACCTTGCTCATCTATTGTTTAGATCTCCTCTTGAGCTTGTTTTGGTCTTGTTGGTCCCTTATGGAAGGTCTTGATGAGTCAAGACCATTTGAGATGCCAAAGCTTGTAGATATAGATGTTTAGTGGCCTCTTTCAGCTTAAAGCTGCAAACTTTATGGTGTTTGTGACCTCCATGGAAGCATTAAGTCATTTATTAAGCTCTTTTGGGCTTTTAGGCTTCATTAAGCCATGCATGCACGTAAAGTTGGTACTTTTACGTGATTAACTACTTCAAGGATGTCGGATTTGGGTGTTTGAACAAGTGTCTTAACCAAATAAGAGCTAAATGCAAAGTTGGCAAATCAGAGGAGTATGTTGGGCGTACAAGCTTGTACGCACAGTGTACATGCCCTTAAGCGTGTACGCTTAGCATACAAGCTGAGTACGCCACGTGTACTCAACAGTGGGCTGCGATATTTGGGCCTTCAGTGGTGGGCTCCGTTTTTTGACTCTAGGAGTGTTGGGCTGTATTGTGGGCCTTAGCATGGTTAAGTTAGGTGGACCAGTCTCCTTTGTGGGCTTATAGTGTCATGGGTTGGGCCTATTTGGCCTTAAACCCATTATTGTAAATGGGCCAAATATGGTTGGGCCCATTAAAAGGAAAATGCTTTTGGGCCCTATTTGAGGAGTCTGGACTTAGGGATTTTGGGCCTTGGTTGAGTTTGTATCATAATCTTAATTAGGGTATTTTGTATATCTATATAGTGTGAGATTTTTGGATAGGTAGCTGAGCAATTATTATTTTTAGCAGACCGAGGTGAGTCTCTTCCCGGTATTACGGGTCGAAGGCACCAAGGCTGGCCCATTATCTGTTTTTGCCATATGTTAGTTGTAGTGTGTTACATGTGTGATCAGGTTGAAACACACCCCAGGGTGGGGCCTAATATGATATGTCGGGTTGAAATATACCCCAGGGTGGGGCCCACTGTGACATGTTGGGTTGAAATATATCCCAGGGTGGGGGTCCATACTTGTGTTCAGGTTGGAATGAACCCCAGGTCGGGGCCCATTGGTTTGACTAGTATGTGTTATTTTGGGAAAACTTACTAAGCGTTAGCTTATAGTTTGTATTGTGATTTCAAGTACTTCCAGTTCTACAAGGAAGGGCATGGCTTGATGGCGCAACATTCACTCTCCACTATTTTCCACATTCCCTGTTATTGACACTCTGATGATTTTAAATGATGATTATGTATTGGATTTTGGTATTAAACTTATGATTGTAACCTTATTTAAAATGAAATATTTTCTATGGTTTTTAGGCTGTTACAACTGAATTAACCAAACAAGCTCTTAGTTAATTTAGAAAAGTAGCATTAGACACAGTGTAAAATTCCCAGTAAAGTCCAATACTACTCACAAGCTCGGAAGCGTAAATACTTGTTTGATCAGTTTATATTAGAGTTAATCCTAGCACAAAACCAATCTAATATTCGTTACTTTTACTGATTAATAAAGACAATTATGGATCTAAACAAATCAGATAATTGGAATGATTCATTAACAATTAAAGTGGCCAACAGAAACTAAATCAAAATCAAACGTTCAATTAAACACAAAACTGATCAAAATAAATAGTAAACACAATAAAAAATCTTGCCTAATGATTATTTGCAAGAAAAGTCGAGTCGTTTGCGAAACTGAAATCTAAGGTTTTTAGCCTGACATGGCTAAAAATGAATTACAAGAAGTAGAAACAAAACCTAATTGACAAATCTTACTAAACGAAAAAAAAATCGAATCGTGTTCTTTAGATCTATGTTTGGCACTCGAAAACCTCTAAAAATTGCCTCTCGGTCGTCCGGAATCACGAATTGGGTAACTGGGGTATTTTAAAAGCCTTTTTATATGTCCAGTAAAAAAATAGGAGATTTTTGCGATCGCATATATGATAAATGTGATCGCATTTTTCGTGAAAACGTGTCCCGAAGTGACTTAATGGAATACGATGCCATTTTGGAAGTTTTTGAGACTTCGAAGAAAATCTACGATAGCATAAACAGATCTGCGATCGCATTTCTAGTCTTTTTTCTCAGTTGAATGTTTTGCACGTAGAATCCTCAAAAGTAAGTATGCGAGCATTTCTACGATCGCATAAACACGAAATGCAATCACATTTCTTCCATCTTGTCTCGTTTCAGTCGTAATTCTTCCTTTCAAATTATTCCTAATCATTCCTCAACATCCTTCCTCATTTCCACCTCCATTCAAGCTCTAATGCTTCTTAGAACGCATCCCGAGATGTCATATGTCTCAATGTGCTCCAATTTACCCTGAAAATATAACAAAAGTGAGTAGTACGTACATTCTACAAATATAAGGAGAAACACACAAATTATAATAAAAATAGGGAGATAGTTAGGTTTTCAAAGAAAAATATCGAGAAAAACATGCTAAAAGAGGCATATAAAGTGCATCTAACATGTATGCAGTTCATAAATACTGCCATGATAGAATGATAGGGACTTTTGTACTAGACGTGCATGCTTTTGTAATGTCTGTTGGCATTATTATAATATTGTAATGATATGTGCCCTAACATTATTGTAAATTGAAAAGTGTGTGTGTGTGTATTAGATTCCTTGACCTTATAAAAGTATATTATTTATGTTGTTTACAAGGAACTGAGTGCATTGCATTTGAAGGAATAGAACTCATTACTTTAATAATAACATGTGACCATAAATGTTGGATTATTCGGGAGTATACCACTTTGTTTCCCTTTTTATATATAGGAATTGACAAAGTAATAAAAAATGAAGACCACATTGTTTTTGTCCATGTATATCATGCACATTTTAGCATAATGTACCATATTACCCATTTGTGTGCATGCATGCAATAATATGGCAACCGACCTAGTATCATGAAATAATTAGGCAACCTACTTTCATACATTTTAAATTCAAACATAGCTTAGACAATCAAGTATCAAGGGATCCAAATTAAAACAACATTACATGACTGTATTACCCAACTTCAAACATAACTTAAAACTACCAAGTATCCAAATTAAAAACAACAATATCATATTAAAACAAGATTACCAAAACTATCCTACTCTATATGAAGAGCTTTTTCCTTGGAGTTCCCTGGAGCATACGCATCACCCACTATCTTACCCAACTTCAACTTCAAGATTCTATCTGACTTTCTTTCCTTGATCCTCTTCAATAAGTCAGATGTGTATAGTACTAGTGGGACCTCTTGAATTTGAACATTAGCACCATTAAGCTCTTGAACTTGAACATTAACATCATTGAGCTCTTGAACCTGCACATTTCTAACATTATCCTCTTTAGCTTGCACCTCATTAAACAAATCTTCAATGTCAACAACATCATCATCTAATCCTTCTTCAACTTGCACCCCGCGTACTCCCTATTCAACTTGAACCTCAACTTGGATACCCTCTTGAACTTGGACATCCTCCTGAACCTGTGTTGGAGTCACTTGCACCTCAAATTGAGTGACTTGAATTTCTTCCTGTTCTTGACCTTCAATTGTAGTTACCTATATAGCAAGGTAGAATATTGTTATGTAATTCATGAAAACCTTAATTTAATGTACAATACAGTTAAAGTGTAACTACTGTATTACATTAACATTTTGTTTCTTCCTTGTCTTCATTACAATACGTTTTTGGGGTCTTCCCATAAAACACGTAGCTTTATTGTGACCTGGTTCCTTGAAAATGATGCACTTCAACCCCTTCCAGTTTTGGAAACCTTCTTGGTGGCATTAGTAACTGTTGAAGACTTCTTCTTTTTTGTCTGTGTTCTGCCATTATTTTCTATGGCATCCCTCTTCCTTTTAACAGTTGGTCTTCCAGGCATCCTTCTACTCACAAGGGGTAAAGGTGAAACATCCCAAAAATACAGTCTAAAAATTTCATTTTTATTTAATAATAAAACCATAGTCATCAAACGTCATATAAAAATCATAAACAATGTATCTCAAAATATCATAACAACTGTCAAATATATCAGAGTATAAACATCCCAGGCTGAACAAATGGTGTGTGCACTGCAATCATCCCGAGCTCCTCTTTTGAAAACTGAAGTACCTGAAACCAAAACTGAAAAATGTAAGCATGAAGCTTAGTGAGTCTCCCCAAACTACCACATACCATACACATGTCACGTAAACAAGTCGTGGGCCCCCTCCTGCTACATCGGGCCCCGCCCGGCATCGAGCAAAGCTCGGTATAAAAATGATCATATCAACAATCACATCAACATAATCACATAATCATAAATATATAAACATAACATTGGTCCTTGCCCGCTACATCGGGCCCCGCCCGATATCGGCTTACCCAGAATCGGGCCCCACCCGGCATCCGACCGCATCGGGCATCGGGCCCCGCCCGACATCGAACCGAAGTCTGGTACACATGTAATATATCAACAAGAATATAACATACACATAACATAAACATAACTTGGGCCTAGCCCACTGCATCGGGCCCTGCCCGACATCAGACCAAAGTCTAGCATACACAACATATCAACAAGCATAACATAAACATATCATAAAAGCTAACATTCCTCAGGCTTGCCCCGACATCATACCAAAGTCCGGAACACATAATCAAACACATGCAAGAATCACGAAGACATCAAGCATACTAACTTCCTTGGGCTTGCCTCGGCATCAGACCGAAGTCTGGAACATAAAATCTACATCGGGCTAATCCCGGCACATACAATCACACATAAACGGGTCGGCCTTGGTGCCTTAGACACGTTCCTATAGGAGAAGACTCACCTCACACTACTGAAATCCCGCTGACAAAACCCTAGCTGCTGGATGACAGATTCCCGAATCTGTCAACATCAAAATAACACCCAATTAATGATTGGGTTCCAACACATATCCATAAATCCATGCTTGGGGTAAAAGACTACTTTACCCCTAACTTAGCTTGACTCAAGCCCAATGCCCAATCCAAAGGCCCAAAAGTCTAATAATGAACCAAGACCCAACTATGGCCCAATTTTCCAAATTGGGCCCAAACCTCTACCTGGCCTTGCCTTAAGGCCCAACCATTTAGTCCAATCCAAACGTTTGGCATTCTAATGGCCCAATATCATATAACCATCAAGGCATAAACTATGGCCCAATTTTCCAAATTGGGCCCAAACCCTCATATGGGCCTTACCCTAAAGCCCATCTAAATATTATAGTCCATATGATCATTCTTCGATGGCCCATTATTGGCCAAATTACTAAAACCCAATAGAAAGGCCCAACTCAAGGCCCAAGTGAAATTAGGGTTTCACATAAAATGACAATTAGGGTTAAGTGTTTCTCACTTAACCCATTAAGGACTTAATCCATTAAGTCCATCACTCTACTAGATAAGTCATATGGTGTGATTGGGGATAATTCACCATTCCATTCCAATGGCCTAAATGTGGGTCCCAATAAGTCCAAGGCCCATAAATCCAATATTAGGGTTTTTCTAAACCCTAGTTAGGGTTTCCCACCCAATCATAGCCCAATAGACCCAAAACTAAATCTTTAAGCCCATTAGGGTTTCACTAGTCGGGCACCACCCACTACCACCTCGGGTAGTGGTGGTCAATGGCGGCTCACGGCGGCGGCCACCACCTCACGGTGGTGGTTATGGTTCTTTTCATTATTCTTTTTGCTAATTACAATTACCATGCTTTAATCCAAAACTAAACACACACACTAACTAACATAAACACACACACACACACAGCCACCCTAGTGGTGGCCAACGGTGAGACGTGGTGGCAGCCACCACCTCACGGTGGTGGTGGTGGTGGTGGTGGCTTTTCCGTGAATTCCGGCCCAACACAGCACACCCATGCTCCTTGATCGTAACATAAAACCAGCCACCCACCTGGTGGCGCACGGTGGCAGAAACAACAGCACTATCGGCAACAGCAGTGGCTAATGGCGGTGTTGACGGCGGTAGCCACCATGGCCGGCTGCCATGGTGGTTCTTCACGACTCCTACATGAAAGAAAAATCCCCACAATGAAACACAATAAATCACATACACAGCCACCCTTCACGGTGGCTGGTGGCGGCAGAGAGCGGTTGCAGGGGGCGACAACCACCATCTTGAGGTGGTGGTGGATTTTCCGGCCAATAACTCGTATACTACTCCACATATACCGAAACAATCAAAAATACTCAAACACAAAAGCATTGGGCCACTTCCCAAGTGGCTGACATCCCCGGAAAAAGACGATGTCAGCAGCCAAAGGCCACCAGTGGCAGCCACGACGTATCTTACGTCGAACAGAAGAGAGGAAAGGTGGTTATTCTTACCGAGGACCCTCAGGTCACGCATGTCTCACACAACGGCGAACACTACTCCGTTAATCGGTTTCGGTGTTTCTACGGTGCCCGTGACGTCTCCGGCAGCAGCGTAGTGATGACGCTCCTCGGCAGACAGCCTCGTCTGATCGGAATAGTGGGAAAGGGAGAGGCGGCGGCTGGCAACTCACGCATGGCAGCGGATGAAGAGAGTTAGGGTTAGGGTTAGATGGTGCAACGATATGGAACGGATGGAGCCTGTTAAATCCCGTGTTCATACAAAATCGATGCGAGTTTGACACTTCCAGTCCCTCCTCCTCATAAACTCTTCAAAACAGATCCATAAGTTACATTTTAGCCCCCAACACTCCCAAGTCCTTTAATTTAGGTCCTAGTAATTACCAAGCATCCCCTACTTCTAAAATCCTTTTCAAAATAAATCTGTAATTTACTAAACAACCCTCAGTTCTCAAACTGCTTTCATAATAGGTCCATCACTTACCCTACACCCCCCTGTCTTCTAAAAATCTTTACAAAATAAGTCCCAAAATTACATTTTAACCCCACAACCAACACTCCGCTGAATATTATGGATTTTAGGGTTACTATTCGCTTATAAATTTTTTATCCATTTAATCATCTAATAAACGGGGTGTTACAACTCTCCCCCACTTAAATTAGATTTCTTCCTCGAAATCATTCATTACCATACTTTACATGCGAAACCACTCAAGTGACATGGCCCCAAATCCCGGGTAACCGTAACCAATCCTCGCAGGGTACTAAAACCTGATGATAAGCGAATTCCTTGCAACATGATCACATCCATCCAGTCTGAAATATGTAGTCTCAAGATGGTCTGACTCCCCAACAGACCACCCATACCGAATCATTACCGCTGAATCCAGTCCACCTGTCTTTCAACTGACTAGTCAACTTCTGATAACTCGAGGTTCCCACTGGAAAAACAGAACCACATATCTAATTATCCCTGCCGATCACTTATACTTGGCCTAGGCTTAGCTAATCCCGATGTGAGTGACTCAGCATTACTCAACAATCTGTTACGCTAACGATACATGAAATCCTAAAATACCATTACTGCTTGAGACACCGAACTGTCCGAAGCACTGAGCTGCCTGAAACACTAAGCTGCCTAAAACAATATGTTGTTGGGTTTTGAGCATTCTAACACTCCTAAGTGTACATGCAACCCTAAATACCTTGGATCTATGTTTTCTCTATTATACATGCAAATATGAATATCCAAGGTATTATACTAACTAGCATACAAAACTTTGATTCATATGAAATATAAAAGTTAGAATACATACCTCTTTGATGTAGAATGACTCCATGAAGCTTAAGTGCCTAGTGCCCCAAGTGTGACACCTCAAATGGTTCACACAACACCAAATACACTTGGAATAACTTGAGAGAACATCACACTTCATAAAAATAGGCTAGCCCTTATACTCATACTCTAGTGGCCGATTTTGTCAACAATAAGATGCTTATATAGTTAGTGACAATTAGGATAAACCGTAATTGTCATGGCTTTCCATTTCCTTGGATCCATGGGTTCAAACATACCATGGAGCATCCATGGAGCGTCTTATGGGTTTTAGCCCAACTTGACAATCCATGGAGCATTAGCCCACTATACAAGTATGGGTGATTTACACAATCAACACATATATTTAATTAGTCTTTTTTTGATCACTTAATTAATTCTAGATTAATTCTTGATCAATACTAATTAAATAATCTTATTAATATATTATAACTTATAATATATTAACAAACCTTAAGTGTTATTTCTCTCATTATAGTCTATCCAAATGCATGATGCCATGCAACCCAAATGGACCATGCCGGGTCGGGTCAAGTCTTACCAATTATAGTTATGGACTTAGACATTAATCCAACGGTCTCCCACTTGGACAAGTCTAAAACTATTATTGCGTATGACTTCAAGAACCGACTGGCAATCGTAGCTCTCAAAAGCTTCCGTCGAACTCTGACCTTGCCGATGATCTCTGACCTTTGTCAATGACTTGTCCATTAGATAAGGGATCATATATTCCTCCATTCTAGATATCATATGGACTGAGACATGGATTATGTCACACCCCCAAACCAGAACGGCGGAAACGTTCGGGGGCGGAGGACGTCATGCTCGGTATCATAACCATAGTGAAGAAAGTAAAACACAACCATCATGGATATAATTTAAAAGGTTACATTGTTTCAAAATAATACATGTTTTCCAAATAAATTACATATGATGATAAAATGTAGCAAAAGAATCCACGCCTTAGCGTCTTGACTTCAGAAATCTTGTAGTTACCTGTATTACTGATTACCTGAGAATACAAGTTGTTTTGAAAGAGTATCAGCACAAAGCTGGTGAGTTCATAAGTATTTTATGAAAAATGAATGTTGTTTCCTTAACGTTTGTTACAAGTTTGTTTCCATAAAATCCAATATTTTCTAAAAGATTTGTTGTAGACTAAATTGAAACAAGGCTTAGTATGTG